TCATTCATCTCGTACTATGAAGACCTCGTCTTGTTTTGTATAAATGTTATTGTTATTGTAAAGAGTCACTAAGTAAACAATGAATGAATTCATCTTTTTTTTTTATAACTGGAGGGTGTCCGGATTTTTACCACCCGACTAATCCCCCAGGATGAGTGTAGCCGTCGAGTAACCCACTCATCGAGTTTTTTTTTCATCTTTATTATATTATTTTAGATAACTAAAAATTTGTAAATGTCCCGCAATAGAGCCATGTTGTAGCGACTATACCTTCTCACGGACACGCTAAAGTTAGAAATATCTCGCTATTCTTATCATCAATTGCAAGACGTATAAAATTGACCCGATGTTGCTACTTTTTTTTCTTTCTCAATGCTACTATCTATTTTTAATGACCTTGAATTTGGATGGTGATAAATTAATAGAACTAGTGAATTTGTTTATTTAAAATCATATTATATTTTAAGGGTAAACAAATCTATTAGACTTTAACAAAGACAAAACAAAAATTCTATTGGACTTTTACGGCTTTACTTTTTTTCCTTGTCTACCGCCACAAGACGTAAATTTTATAAACACAAGAAATGCGATATTTTACATAATTATATAATATCGTACATATTAAATGGAATCAAACATGTAATTTTCATGTCGCAATCTGGATCACGAGATCTTTCCGCGACATGAATGACCAAACTAGGATCCGATGAATCACGTTCTTTTGGTCAACTCATTTTCATTTAAACAATACCCTAAAATAATAAATATTGAATTATTTGTTTGGGATCATACTATTGAAGTTAGAAATAAATAGAGCAAAACATACGTATAAAAAGAAAAATACTACAAATTCTCGAAAATTTTGGTTTTACAAGCTACAGTGATCGATAAAACTAAAAACTATGGTATTTTCTAATTATAACAGACATTAAAACCAAAATTTTTTTGTACCAATGGAGATAAGTGTTCGAACAAAATGTAGTTCACAAATCATGACAAAAAAAGAAAAATGAACCGTACGGCACGTAAATGTTGTGAATACAAAACAAACAATTCATATGTTTTTTTTTGTCTTTTTTTTAATAAATGAGGAGTTTTTACCATTCGACTCTCCCAGGATGAGTGTAGCCGTCGAGTAGCCCACTCACCGATTTTCTAATTGGCCTAAAGCGTGACACCATTTCAACTGCCCAAATAGAAGCGAAAGTGTTCAAGAGGAAATCAAACTCAGGTGAATAACAAACGCTCTTAACATTTTAAATTAACATTTAAAAAAAAAAACAATTCATATGCTTTAGAAAACCTCTTTTAGGGCTTCTCTAAAATCTTGGGGAATATTTTTCATAAAAGGGTTGAAATATTTCCTTGCGTCAATTCAGAATTGATTAGATGGGGACTATGTTTTAATTTAACCAAAGAAAGTCATAAATCTACATAGACGGATTCCACGAATGAGTTGATAAAATGGTTGATGAGGAGTCAACCTCATGACGAGTCTCGTCTTTACCGTACGTACGATTAAGAATGGTCCTATTATATTATCCTTTTTATATCTCCACCGACTTCTCCAATACTCTCTCTACCACTCTTTGATCTTCATTGTATCATCCAAAGATCTCACTTACATCACTTCTCTCTCTTTTCATTTAATCGCCCACCGTTTTTCTTATTATCATCTGTTTTCTACTCGAATCATATCGTCCACGACAAAAAAAAAGAGAGAGTTATTATTGTAAACAAAGATATGTGTATGTTCACTACTACTGGTTATTTTAGTATATTGCGTATAATCTAATCAGTATATAAAAGATTCACGATGAATTCACTGCAATGCATCTAACATATATAAGGGCAAAGAAATGCATGGCTAAATATCTCGATCCACAATTTTTTTCTTTTTTTTTACGAAAGTTATGGACCAAAACTCTTACATCTTCCTATAGAGACTGAACCTATCCGAAACAAAATCTGAAACCCTGGTTTCTCGAACGCAATTTTTTTCGTAGTACAACAACAATTAGTAAAGTTCTGTATATATTGTTTACAATTTCCCAACAATATAAAAGAGA